CAGGAAACATTAGAAGATGGAAATGAATCAATGACTCATAGCACCACACAGCACACATACAAGCAAGAAGGAGGATATTTCCAATCATAGGCTCTGCGAGATCTTTCCCTTGGATGCTTTCTTCTATTCTTATCCAATAACCCTAGTTTAAGTCATAGGGAATTCATCATCTGCTCTATTGTTCCTCATTGTTTCTACAGGTTTATCCCAGTAGTAAACCTAGACACTTGGCAATGCCAAGTGTCTTGAAGGCACTGCTTGACAAAACTCACAGTGCTTGGATGACATGGACTGATCCTTCACTGCCCTTGGTGGAATTTGCTGCACAACTCTTGCCTATGTCTTTGACATGTTTAATGTTTGAATTCTTTGATGTTAAGGGCCCCTCACTGAAGGATCAAACTGGGAGAATGTAATAATTCTTACAGAAGCTGATGTTGAGAATAAAACTTATGGTGATTCCCTGGAGAATTAGCTATGCAAGAATCTTCTACAGAACTTATTACTTATGTGTTACTAGTAAGCATAAGACATAGGATCGGGAATAAATCATTAAAGAAGAAAAACTTAGGAAAATTTTAGAAGCTGACAAACTATAACTGAATTATTAGATTGTCATGCTTTTCCCCAGAAACACAGAACTAACATGGACAAAGAAAAGATTTTTTATTATAAAATTAATGACAAGCTTTGGTGCCCTCCTGAAGGCAAAGTAAGCAGTTCTAGGAATCCTGATGTTCCTTTACTCTGTGTAGGATTGTAATAAAGATAGAGACCATATTAAAACAAGAGACACAAAGAGAAACATTTTGGCTCAGTCAACTGCCTGGCTTCCTGAGCAGACTTGTTAGATCAGGACTTCTCTGATTGAAGAAAGAATAAAGAGCAGAACACGGTCTTTCAGAAGTCAAGGGAAAGGAAGGTGGTCTTATGTCAGGTATAATAGAAAGAATTTAAACAAGGGACAGAGGAATTAGATTTCTGTAGAAAGATCAAATATTCATTATAGTAGATTAATAGAATAATAGGTAGTAGGAAATAGCTTCAGATCTATTAGTCAAACTTAAATAAAGACATCCTGTCTAGTTTTTCTGTAACCACAAGGCTTTACGACACCAATTTTAAGGAAAAAGATTTTGAGTTAAAAGAACTGATTTTATCATATTGTTAGATTTTAGTTCTCACGAAATTTGCTGTTGGCTCGTTTTGTTTTTTTTCACTTTGATAAGCTTATGTAATCACGGAAGCCTTTAGAAAAGGCATGGACCATGAAATCACTTTGCAATCAATGATCGAAGTCTGTGAGGAAATGAGTTTGTGTATAGGTAAAGCCCGTGAGAGGTACAGGTTGTCAGGGTAGGTCAAGTCACACCGAGATGTGCTTCCTCTCTGTCCATCTCTCCTAAAATGAAACTAAGAAGTACCCCGTGTCTGATTTCTCCTTAGCTGCTCTTACATCCACCCACTTCAGACCCCGCCCTCGTCTGGAGCTGGACTCTGGCAGATACTCAATAAACATTTTCTGAATGAACAAATAAAAGGGTGTCCCTATCATATGAGCTTTAGTGGCAATAAAGGGCAGTCTACTTGGAGTGTAAACTTTTTAATAAAATGGTGAAACGACCCTGCCACAGGTATGGATAATGAAGATTAGTAAACCACTCTTTTCTTATTTATTTTTTGCTTTTTTATTTTTGCAGTCCTCAAAAAATAGTAGTGCTCTAAAAGTAAGATGCTGTATTTTAAGCTTACTATTATTTATATGCATCATATAAATCACATGTCATGATTATACTGATGAGTTACTGTTATGGATCCTTGGTTGTAGAATTTAAATAATGATTTTTAAAAGATTTGTTTTAATTATGTATATGTATATATGCATCTGCAAAAGAATGCAGTTCCTGTGGAGCCCAGAAGGGGCGTCAGATATTCTAAAACTTGAGTTCCTGGGGGTTGTACACTGTCCCACATGAGTGACAGAACCAAATTTAGGTCCTTTATGAGAGCAGTATGTGTTCTTAACCTCTGAGACAGCTCTCCAGTCTCTATAAATTTTAAGGAGTCAGTTACTGTGACTATCTGTATTTAAATACAGAGCAGCAACTAAAATTGCTGACATGTAGTTATACTTCCCAATTTCAATAGTTTTGCTTATCAATAGGTAATACACTGTAAAAATGGCAAGCCACCATTTTCTAGTTGCATTTCATGACCAAGATAGCAATTTACTATAATAAAGATTACACCCTTTTTCCAAAATCACCATACTTTCAACTCTGAAATATGCTATGTGACTTTATAAAATGTTTTTCATTATTATATTTTATTCTCAATACTTAATTCAAAGTTCCATGCAAAAATATATTTGCTTCAAATTTTAAGTTGATTTGGAAAGATCAAGAGACAGGTGTTGCTTTTAGAAGCGATTTCTGTAGCACATTGCTCTAACAATGTACAAACAGAAGAGGCACAATAATGAATTTTCATTTAGCATTGATTGCTATAATTGGAAACTAAGAGAATAACAATTTTCTGAATTCATAGTGGATGTGTGAATGTAGGATACTGCTTGTTACAGGAACCATCAGAAGCAAGAGCAAAAGATGGCAGCAGCGAGTCACCCAAGACTCAGCATCGCACAGGAGCACTTCGTCTTATTTTTCAAAATTATCTAATTGTGAATTTAATAATATCTCCAGTTATTCTGGAAGAATAGAAATCCTAAGTGTTTCAATGAAATGCAGCAAAGAGTAAATTAAATCAATGCAGTCCAGGGCATTTCTGTTTCTTAAGTATCCCACACCCACCACAGGAAGTTCTGCAGGGACGGCTCATGGATGTTGCCACGGTGCACAATAAACCAATGGGAATTTGGCAATTACTCATTAAAAAAAAAAAAAATGAAAACAGAGCAAACATCCCGGAAAAAAGGGCTTCGGAAAATCATTTTCTCACGTTGAGTCTGATGGGACATAAACATGTGCATATATATGTTCTAAGGACAGAATCTGTGTACCTACCACATACAATAATGGATTTTGCCTTGAGTGTTTTTGTTCTACAACTGTGAGAACCTGAGTTCAGATCTCAGCACCTGCACAAAAAGCCTGTTGAGCCCACGCTCACGCCTGTAACCACAGTAGCAGTAGCGTGGGGACCTGGAGACTGGAGGATGTCTGGGGCCTGCTGTCCTCCAGATGAACAAGTCCCCCATTCAACTGGCGCTGATGTAAATAACACCTGAAAATGACCACAGGTCTTCCCTCACAGGAATCAGGCGGCTATGTTAGCGTCACAGCAGCTCCAATGTAGTGCCCACACTGGGGAACTGCTTCTGCAAGTGAGCCTTAGCCTACCCGAGGTGAGCGGAACGACTGCACATTTCACTGTTGAGAACAGCCATTGCTCCATCTTCTGTTCGTTCCTTTACCTGCTTAGTCTGTTTAACCTTACTTTTGTCTCAGCCTTTAACTCCAGAGAGTAATAGAGGAGATCTCAGATTTAATATAAGTCATCTGACTTTGTTGGATAATCCCTTGCAAGCTGAAGAGAGACGTCCCTGAGATGGCTGAAGCTGGGACAGACCCTTCCTCTTAGTACAAGTTCCTGCTTTCTGTCACGGGGCATCTGCATCTCAGAAACAGGCCCTAGGAAGGGGTGGGGCGGAGAGGGCAGCTTCAGAGTGTGGGAGCTTCAGGGTCAAGGGGGATGAGTAGTGGGAGAATTATGAGAAGTATTTGTCCTGAATGTGACTGTTAGGCCTTGCCACTCACGAATGTTGCAGCTGACAGGGACATAGGGGGAGGGCCTGACGGCCCGCCTTGGCACGCGGCACGGGTTTTGTTTTCCAACAAGACTTCCCATAGTGTGACTGTGCTTGCTAGTTTTCGCACTCTGTGGACTAATGGCTAGCTAACTGAGAGACATATGGAAAACTCAGTTGGAAATGGAGAAAGCTGTACAGGCTTCACTGGGGTCTGGGGAAGAGGAACTGAGTTTCCGTTTTAGGACGGGACAGTGGGAAGAGGAAAAAGTGGTGGAGGTGCAGAAGACGACAACTAAAGCTCTAGATCCGACAGGGGTCTTCCTCTCAGGAAGTTCACCTATATACCAGATTTGAAACCAGACTGAGTGTGCGTTAAGGAGAGAGTATCTGTGAAAAACATAATCAGAACACTGGAGGTGCTGGAGACGGGGCAGACTCCGTGAAGAGAACCTCACAGACGTCATACGTTCTTTGCTTTGGAACCCCAGAATCTGCAAGAGCATCCATCCCCATCCACTAGCTCGCACGGCTGCCTCAGTGCTCTCCTTAACTCACAAGCTAGTCTAGAACCCCTCCACGGCTGCCCTTTTACAGACGGGCATCTGCCCCCCACGCCAGACTCAGCTCTCCACACCTGCTCCAGCCCGGGTGCTGTGCGCTCCCGAGGATGCTCGGCCCTCTCCCAACCCGCTCCGCCTCCTCCCCTCTCTGCCGCTGCCGTGGCTGCCGCCGCGAAAACCAGAAGTGGAATTCGCGTGGCGAAGCGCCGCGCTCCCTCTCGGCGGCACTGGGCATGCTCCGCACCCGGGGCAGCTGTCGGCGGCGGGGCGGACGCTCGCACACTAGCCAGGCGCCGGAGTCGGCCGCCGCGGCTGAGCCGGAGGCTGAGCTGCGGCGCGCGGCGGGAGGAGCCTCGCTCGCGGCGGCGGCGGCGGCGGCGGCGGCGGCGGCGGCACAGGTGGCGCGGGCCGCGCGCAGGGCGCAGCTCGGGAGCGCTCGGCGCCGGGCGCCAGGGCGGCCCAGGCTCGCGCCCGCGGCGACAAGCGGCCGAGCGGAGCGGCGGGCGCGGCGGCGGCGGCGGCGGCGGCTCGGGAGCCCGGCCCGAGCCCGGGGAGCCCCGCGGAACCCCGAGCAGCCCGCGGCGCCCGTGGAGTCGGGCAGGGGGCGCTACGCTCGCCGCGCTCGGAGGGGCGGCCGGGCCGGGCGCTGCGCACTCGCGTCGGGAGCCGCCTCTCGCCCGCCGCGCTCGCCCCTGCTCCCCGCCAGCATCACTTGTCCCGCGGCCGCGCTCCGACAACAAAAGCGGAGGATGCTGCAGCTGGGCAAGGTCAGGACCTTGCTCTGAAGCCGGGCGGCGGCGCGCACGCCTTTCCCCCGACTGAGGAGCTGTCTTTGGCGGCGGGTGCATGTTCGCCAGGAAGCAGTCGGGCGCCGCGCCGTTCGGTGAGTTGCCTGCGCGGAGCTGCTGGAGCCGGGCGCATCCTCCGGGCGTCGTCCTCTTGCTCACCGCCGGTGGGGGTTGGTCCTCCGCTGCTGGCCGGGCCAGGGGTGGTGGCGGCGGCGGTGGGGTGCTGTCTGCCCCCAGGGAGGACAGCGATCGCGCTGGGTCCCCTCTCGGAAGACGGCTCTGCCCGGAACGGGATCCGGGGCCAGTGTCTTTCTTGGAGCGGTTACCAAGTGGCTTCTCCGCGTGCTCCCCTCCCTGCCGCCCCTCTCCCCCGGAGGACGCGTATATAGGGCAACACCGACTGCTCCCCGCCACCCTCCAGAGCAACCCGGTTGCATTCATGACGTCCCTAATATACGGGAGAAGAGGGGTGGGGGTGGGGAAGACTTCCTTCCAGTCTTTTGCCCTTATGTTCAATGTCATTACGATGTTTGGCTAGAACAAAATGGAAAGACTTGGTCATATGCGTCCATGGCCGTTTCTTTAATCTCCCGCTGCTCGCCAGACCCAGACCCCTTTGGTCTATATTTAGCGTTTCCGAGGACGCATTTTCAGAGAGATTCACAGGCTTCCGGGGCTTCTCTGCCCTGACAATAGATAGCGAGGCTCTGGAAAGCGCTGCCTGACAGCCAGGTTTGGCAAGGGTGCTTGTGCTTGGGAGATACGCGTAGCGATATTTGGGTGATTCGTAATTAATGGCTGAAAGCAAAGCTGCGTTTCGCTCTCCTCCCACCCGACCTTCCTCTTCTTCTGGTGTGTAATGTGTTTTCATCGATTGCTACTCAGCAGGTTTGAGCCACTCTGTTCAGAATAAAGTCGCTAGGAAGGAGGTTCAACCTCCTTGGTCTGGAGGGTGGGGGTCGGAAAACAGACTTGGGGACTTAGGGGGTGTGCATCTCTGTATTTTCCACAAAGAGCCACTTATTTCCCGAATGCCCCAAAGTTGCGTATCACTGTAAACACCGGGGTAATGAAGGGTGTGGAAGAAGAGGATAATAGGGGAGGCTGTGCTTGCAAGGGGGTTTGGATTTCTCTCATTTGAACTGATCTGATGTGCTTTAGCTCTGCAAGGCTTTATAAATATGCATGCCTAATGTTCTCAAGCAAATATGTTGGCTTAGAAAAGAGATATGTAATGAGCAAAAAATCAGGCCTGATAAGCATGACGGACAGTTCACTTTTAGGAACTGTGTGACGGATATGGAAGATGTTGGGGATTTTCTGCGTTGACTTCCATGAAAATGGGGAGGTGTTGCCACTGCCCATGAGTTACCTCATTGTGCGCCCTTCCACTGATGGTAGTTTAGTTGATGTCTGCTAGTGGGCATGCATCTACATAATTAGAAGGCTTCCCAGTCACACTGCTAAAAATCCCATGGAAGACTGTTTGATATGACTCCTTTTGGATCGCCAAAATAGATCTTGTGCATGATTTGGGGGATCCGATCTATGGGAAGTCTGAGCAATAGGTGCAAGAATTCTAGTGTGTGGAATAGCTGTTTTCAACTACCGGATGCCCCTTCCTTTACTGTTTCCCAGAGCCCAACAGAATCCATTGTTAATGTGGAACAGTATCCTCACTGGTCTGTGGGTCACAAGGTCTCAGGGCTTGAATGAAGATGGATACATTTGGAATTAGTTGTTGAAATTTAGAAGGACTGTAATTATACTAATAACAGGTGAGCGTAGTGGGCGCTCTATCGCCAGAGGCTACACTGTTCAATCAAGTTAAGGGAACACTGTGGCTCTTTTTACCAAGATTTTCCCACCTTTATTCACATTCTGGGAACTTTACAGGAGCACTTTGAGCACACTGTTGCAGCCCTTGCATTATATTAGTGTTAGAATCTCTCTCAGAAGCATGCCTTAGATGAAGGAGGAATGCTTTTCTCCCTCGGTTCCTTTCCTCTCTTCAAGTCTAATGCTTCAGTTTTAACCATGATTCTTAGAGACTAGTTGATACACTGCATGGCCCTGTGCACCTTCAGAGAGCAGCTGCTGGGCATGAGAAAAAAACTCCATGGAGTGTGCACGAGGCTTTTATGCCATATTGTGGGTTGGAAATGATAGCACCTGACTGAATGGCAGTTACAGCAACTGCGTGAGGTTGTTGCTGTAATGAAATTGTCCTAGTCTTGTTGAAAGGGGTTGTTTAATTTTGTGTGTGTGTGTGCAGTTGTAAAACCCAGTCATTATAGACGTCACTAATGTTTGCATTGTTTGTAATAAAAGTCACGCACTTTAAAATTACAGCATTACCAGCTACTTCGCATCTTTCACAATACAATGGAAGTCATCAGTTCTTCCTCCCACTTCAGTAGTTCATCACAGAGAGGGAAAAAAATGAAATTCAAATAATATTAGTTGGAAGAGGCAATTTGTAGTTTTGTTAAATATTTTCTAAGAGTAATATCACTTTCATGATGGGATGTAAAATTGAGAAATGAACTTACAGTATCCTCCAAGTATCTCTTCCTGCATGTCACTCCCCAAAAAGCTACTCCTTGATGTTGGGCACATGTGTGGAATTGTTAAAGAGTTTTGCACAGCTCTCTTATATTTCGTCAGGTTCTTCTTAAAAAGGGAAAACCATCACTTTTAAATTGAAAATGATTTATAGTAATTTCTTTATAAAACCACATATTCTTTGTGTGGCTCAGTATATCTAGTTGTAACAAGTCAACTGAAACCAAAATAGAAAATGTTACACCTCAGACTTCCCCAGAATGCACCCCTTGCTCCCCCCATTATGGATAGAATATGGACACACCCTTCTTGGTGGTTTCTTTTGCCTAATGTTGCTGTCACTTTTAATGGAAAGTGAGGCTTGTATTGTTCTTGCTGACGTAATTTTCACTCTAAAGAGATTCCACATAGTTGGACAAATTTAAGCTCAGATTCAAACTGTGAATAAAATCCAAGCATACACCACACAGTTATTTTTTTTTTTTAAAGGCAGTGGTTTGGTTGAAGGTATCACACAATGGATTTCTGCTGACTGGTTTCTGAGTGAGTGAACTTTAAATCCAAATTCTCCCACTGACTGCCAAGAGGGTTGTCGTTGTCCATGTGAAGTCCTTCCATGGCTTCATGAGGTGTGTGGTGTTGTGTGTGAAAAGTTAATTTCAGGAAAGCAGTTCATGATTCTTGTTGCTAGCTTCAAGTTTATCTGATTACATGCCAAAGTAGCAGCTTTTTATATGACTATAAAATATTAAACATGTCATACATAAACAGTTTTCATCACATTGTCTGCCAATCCAGCCTACTGATTAATAAACTGCCTGGTTAGGTTTAATGAATCCAATTATGTTCACAAACAGTACCTGCAACACAGGAAACTCATAGAAATATTTTATCATTCTGGGTTTTAGTCCATTAAATTATGACTCATAACAAAAATATGGGATGATGATAACTCCAGTTCTTCATCTTTCAATCACATGGCAGTTGAGGTGATTTTCAAGGTCTTTATCTTAGCTAATTGATTTGTAGGAAATGGCTCATCAACATTAGGATATTGAAATTGTATTCTGTATCAATTATTTTTTGACAGGTTACAAATAATGATCAAATAAATGAGACAGTGATTCCTAGAAACTTCTGTCTTACACATGCACCCACCTATTTCCCTGGTCAAGTTGTCTGCTGAATGCTAAGCTTATTTTATGTTTATATATATTACATATTACAATACATCCCACTATTTCAAAATCATACATCAGTGACACACAGGTTGTAGGGCATGGTTCATTTTTCTGTATAATTATGATCTGCAATAAAGTTATTAGAAAAGTGAATTTAAATAATGTAATGCTGTCTTGCATTTCTCCTAAAGGAGAGAACACTAGCTTTGAGTGAATATCAATTCTTGTCTCTTAGCTGCTTGCCCCTGACCATTTAATGTGGTCATCAGACTCAGCTTATTCATCTGTAAAATGGATACAGTAAGGTAGAATATCTCAGTATGTTGGTTTGAGTATAAAATATGTCAATAAATGGCTTGTAAATTTATACTTATTAATTAAGATGGATGTTTTTAAATAGATTATTGACATTAAATGATTCCCATCCTCTCTATTTAAGATTAGGCATTGTTGTAATATTATTTTATATAGATACACTATTTTAATATTATATTTTGTAGATTGGCATGTAAAATGACAAATTTTCTCTCTTGGAATATATAATTCCTTTATGTATTGAAATATATAATCATTAAGGTAAAATAAATTAAGTTATATCTCCCAGCATTATTTCTTTAAATGATTGTCATAGCCTAGTAATCACAAATTTAAAATCTTTGATATTCCTTATTATTGTTATGTCAGCCTCCTGATTAAGATCAGATTTTCTACACAGATTAATGTTGTACAGCGAATATTATAGACGTTTAATCAGCATCACTCTGTGAGGTCAGATATTCAGCAGCTGCTCAATGTAAAGGCAGAGAGCTCCACCCTCCGTAGAAAACCACTAAGGGAGTAGTAGGAAAGAAACAGCAGAAACTGTCTGGAAAGGAGACTGCATCCTCCTTAACTGATGTCCTCAGAAAGAGAACAGAGGGGCTACACAGGTGCTGGCTTGAACATCAATGGTCATTTTCACGTATTCCCTCGTCCTAGGGATCTTGAGTGAAGACAGTCATGTGGGCTTTGGTTCCTCCAGGTTTGAGGATGCGACACTCCTTTTACATTACCAAAGTCCCTACAACTGTGACCTTCTGTGACATACCTTTTATGGTCACTACACTTGGATATGTAGTAGAATTTGTAGAGTGTGACCCCTGTGACGGCAGACGAATTTATCTTCAGTCAAGGAAACATTTTGACAATCAACGTGGTTATTTATATTCAAATTTATGTTTTGTTGTGACAACTGCCAATTATGTTTTCAGAATAAAATACATGTTACAGTAAGAGGCATTGCTGGCTTTGTTTTTTGTTTGTTTTTGAGTAAACAGGTGAGCCCATTATATTTGGTTAAATCAGTATAG